TCGACACTCTAATTGACCCTGAATCATTAATTGTCTACAACAGAACGTGACCTGCCCGATCCATATATGTTCGCTTCACAGAGCCAGTTGAGGCTGTTGTGTATCTGTTCTATTCTGGATTCCCCACTGAGGATTCCGCATTAAGTTGGGGTTTTTTATTATTGATTTTGTTGCTACTGCTGCTGCTGTTGTTGTTGTTGTTGTTGTTGTTGTTGTTGTTGTTGTTGTTGTTGTTGTTTCTAACGCCACCTCCAGCAATATTTGAGCTATATGGCGGCCGTCTGTCAATAGTCCATACAACCAGTGATCAGTGATCAATAACAATTGGAATACAAGAATACAATGGCGTGTCAACCAAGTCACGGGGCTCGTAGAAGGAATATTTATGTTTTGGAACCGTAAACTATATTGGATGGTCAAAGATTGCACAGAATTCACCTGACACGGCTTGGGGGTTTGCTTTTTTGTTTGATTGTTTGTTTAACGCCGCACTCAGCAATATATCAGGTTTATGGCGGCGTTCTGTAAATAATCGGGGGCGGTGGGGTAGCCTGATGGTTAAAGCGTTCGCTCGTCACGCCGAAGACCCGGGTTCGATTCCCCACGTGGGTACAATGTGCGAAGCTCATTTCTGGTGTCCCCCGCCGTGATATTGCTTGAATATTGCAAAAAGCGGCGTAAAACCAAACTCACTCACTCACTGTAAATAATCGAGTCTGGACCAGGCAATCCAGTGATTGACATCCATAACATCAATCTACGCAGTCGGGATACGATCACATGTGGCAACCAGGGGAATCTGACCACCGGATCCCATTATCGTGTTGGTATGGCACTTTTTTTAAGCGTAAGGGCGTTTTTAGCGCTCGGGTTGATTTAATGGGGATGTTGATGAATCGGAAGGAAGTTAAAAATATTGCATATTAAAAATCTCACACGACTGCATGTTATTAACAAGTCCCGGTGCATGTCATTTCACAATATGAACGCAGTCATCAATATCAATGTGAAAATAATTGATCCTTACCAACAATCAAATTAGTTCACATCGCAAAGTTTTCTCATCTCGGTAGTGTGTACCGATCTTGGATTGCATTCTACACGCTACTTGAAAAAGTTAGTTTTGAACAACTACTGTTCTACTCGAGGAAATCTCACATTGACGCAAACGTGGAGGTTAGTCGCTTTGTAATTTGCATCTGCTTGAATGTTTAAGCCATCGGGTAACGCTGGTTCATTAGCATGTTTGCTTGGGAGGCCTTAGATATGTGTTTAATTCAACGTGGATGCTGCAATTTCGTCTTTATACCGCTTGATCTCCAAACAATAATATTTATTTATTTGTAAAGAATATGTGTTCGGGTATTTGACCAAGAGACCAAGGTAACATTGGACCCCTGAATCAGGTATGGTCAGTGGAACAACTCATGCCGCACGTGTCGGGGACAACTGGGACATCGATGTGATGACGTCCAAAACTAAATCTAACATGAAATTTAATATTTCTTTTTACGATTAGACAACGACATGTGGCAGAAGTGCGTTTTTAAATGGGTACTAAACCAAGACTAAAAGGCTTAACGTTACATCACTGTCTGATCACTGCCTCCTTAGTGCAGGGCAACGGAGCGTCTTCCCGGAGAGGGGAAGGTAGGTGCTCCGATACCCTGACTAAGCCATTCCAAAAGATGCTACTTGTTGGTACTATGCCTTGCAATCGCTATTTAATTGAAGGGTGCAGCTTAATGTTTCTGTATGATCCAATGATTTTTAACTATTTCTTTGAATCTCGGTATGCTAGCACTATTAAGCCAGCATCCTTACTAGTAAAGCAGGCACATACAGCAGTTTATTCGGTATATATGTGGAACGCCACGTTGTCATGAAACGCTTAACATATCCGAAGGACATACGGTACCAGATCTTCGAGAAACAAGGTGAGCATATCCTGCCCCACCAGTGACATCCGTCACTTATTAGTCAACTGTTATCCTCATCAAAACACAGTAACATCAAACGTGATCTTTTTCCTTCACTTATGAGTCGCATTCGTCAACTTTAAAACGGATAACTGTCCTTAAACATCGATTGTTGCAATCTTGTTAATAGAACCAAGCAAACGTTGTTTATCCTTAGAATTGAATGTTTTAATCTTTTTAAAAGAACCTAGCAAGAGCCGTTAATCCTTAGACATTGAATGTTGTAATCTGTTTAAAAGAACCTAGCAAGAGACGTTTATCCTTAGACATTGAACGTTGTAATCTTTTTATAAGAACCTAGCAAGAGCCGTTCATCCTTAGACATTGAACGTTGTAATAAATCTTGTTAAAAGAACCTAGCAAGAGCCGTTTATCCTTAGACATTGAACGTTGTAATCTTGTTATAAGAACCTAGCAAGAGCCGTTTATCCTTAGACATTGAACGTTGTAATCTTGTTAAAAGAACCTAGCAAGAGCCGTTCATCCTTAGACATTGAACGTTGTAATCTTTTTAAAAGAACCTAGCAAGAGCCGTTCATCCTTAGACATTGAACGTTGTAATCTTGTTAAAAGAACCTAGCAAGAGCCGTTCATCCTTAGACATTGAACGTTGTAATCTTGTTAAAAGAACCTAGCAAGAGCCGTTCATCCTTAGACATTGAATGTTTTAATCTTGTTAAAAGAACCTAGCAAGAGCCGTTCATCCTTAGACATTGAACGTTGTAATCTTGTTAAAAGAACCCAGCAAAACACTTTTCATAGTATGGTTTGCAATCTTCGTAAAAGGCCTATGTTGGATTGCACCTCAAAATGTTTGTAGTCTAGTGAATAGCCCTTGGAATACTGCGGAAGTTGACTATCGGCATGTTGAAGTCATCCCTCTTATTATTCGATGATACTGAGCCTGTTTTCGCAGTCCGAATGTCAGCTCCAAATGTGAAATAGATGAGGCGGCCATATTGGTCTCTAAATTCTACTTCTGGATGGTAATTAAGTCGAAAAGAATTGGCTATTGGTTGTTACTGAACCAATTACTGTTGATCTGAGCCACATGTTCTTGTTCTGACTTTGAAAATCCTAGCAGAAAGTCCTAATTATATGCAAAAAGATACACTTCAGCAAGAAGGGACACCCATGAATATGCCAAACTCTTGTCTAAGTGTCCAACCCTCAAATATTAAATGATGTTATCAATGATGACGTGTATTATTTCGCAAATTGTTTTCTCAGGCAATTCCACTTTTGACACATTGTCCTGAATCTCTGATACAAGGCTGTGTCTATGGTCACGACCTTTGTAACTAAAGCCCCTTTGTTAAAGGGATGGTCTAGTTTTTCAGTTCGGGTGATATTGTACAAAGTTACAAAATCCAAGAATAATTACAGATCCAAAACTTGGTTCATAAATGATATTCGTCATAGTAAAATGTCATGGAAATAAATGTTCTTAATTGCGTTAAAGATTATGGGTAATGTTTAGACGGATACATGGTGATACTTTGCTGGAGCCGGCAACGTCTTTCCTTGTACAGAATTTTATGTATCTTTGGACAAAAATGTCTTCATGTTTTAGAGTCAAGCCAAAACCTATGGTACTGATGCATGGTTTAGACTCGTTTTTAACTTAAAAAAGGACCATGTGGCGTTACTTGATGTCGTTATACCAGGGTAGTTGATCAAACAAGTAATGGTGCCTCCACAGAATGGTGGTGTTATTTGAGGCGTTGTCGACTTCTTATGTAGGAATGTCAGACTTTAAAAGACTCTATACTGGGACAGAATGTGTCTATTCCACTTTTGTTCAGCTGGGGCAATGCTGCCTTACTTCATCAGTCTTGTTCTTACGTTGTGCAGTCCCAATGATTCCTGAAGAAGAAGCAACAACTGTTCCAAATGAACAGTATGGATTGGCCTCTATCTCTTCTCGTCATCATGGCTGCGCAAACATCTTTGAGATGACGGAATTAGATTCTATACAGTGACTTTGGCAGTTCATTCGTCAGAAAGACTGCCAACGTATTCTATATATTGTCATTACATCCATATGGCATTCATTTTTCAAAGGAGAGTGTAATCGTTAATGCCAAATACAGCATGTGTTCCATTTGACCACTTTCTAAATACCATTGTATATTCATAGCTTTCGGTGTAATCGTTAATGCCAAATACAGCATGTGTTCCATTTGACCACTTTCTAAATACCATTGTATATTCATAGCTTTCGGTCGTGGGACTCGTAACGATTTACACTTGTCAGAGGGGTACACAAAGTCCTTGATCTAGACAACCAGTTGTGCGGCTTCCATTTTTGTGGAAGCGGCGGTGGTTGAGTGGGTTAGATGGTTGACTCTGTGTGCTGGCTATTAGGTACCTGACTCTGAGAGTGTAGGTTTGAATCCCAGCTGGGACTCAACCAAAAACACGGAATAGAATCTGTACTTCACTGAGAAAGTGCAATCCCAAATAAAACATTGTTCCATTCCACCACTTTCTAAATGACATTGTCTATTCCTATTTACACCATTTTGAAAAAAATACTACACTTGGATTAAGCAATGATGTACATTGACGAATATTGAGGGGATAATGGCTCATCCTCTGTTGAAAACAAATATTTTGTTTGCCGAAGCACGTTGCTGATGTAAAGAACCTTTTAACGTTAATTTAAGCATTGTTTTGAAGGGACTTATCTGGTTCGAAGTTACAAGCAACTCGACAACATTTTACACTAGAAACAATTAGTATTGCCCCACCTGAATACCAAGTATTCATCTCGTAGGAATTTCAGTTTGGTGTAATCAGTGTACACGATAGAATAGCTACAAGATCAATAGTCATCACCACAGCACCATTATAATCTACATTTGTACCGCAAGAGATTGTGATTATACTGATTAATCTACCTTAATAACAACATCAATGAAGCGAATAGCTCTGACGCTCATTGTAGTCCCTTTTTACCTGGAGGCTCTCCCTTCGTAAATGCATTAAGGATCAATTGTTTATTAGGAAGGCCAAGAACTGATATGATGATCGTCACAACAACCGCAATACATGTATTATGAAGTATCCAGTTAATATATTGCAGAGATTTGTTCATTAATTGCAAACATGCTTTTCTCTTTATTAATTCCCACGGCTGTGTGTTTCATTGATTGGTGGAAGGACCCAATAGCGATGTGGACTGTTCACGTGAGACTGCAGGAGTGACATCAGCCTGATTTCAGTCGAACATATTACACTGTGGAAAGAAGAGACTGAGGCACGGGAGTGTTCCTTCTGTTCTGGGACATCATCAGTTTCTGAAAGGTAAGCGTACATGTCTTGGATATGTTTTACTGTCCAGAAAAGACTCTTATAACACATCCGTGGGCAGTGCTTTGTGCTCATTGGGCTCTCCTTTCATGTTCTGTCATTTCTAAACTTATATTCTCCAACTTTTTGCATGTCCTGTGTGTGTGTTGGTTCGTTCCATGTTGAAAATATTGTAGTAATCATGTATCTGTATTCGTTAATGACACCGTTAGGCGGCTGACTTTGTGTGCTGGCGATTTGGTGCCTGACTCTCAGGGTGTGGGTTCGATTCCCGGTTGGGACTCAGCCCAAAAAAGTACTGGAATTTGTACTTTACTAAGAAAGTGTAATCCCAAATATAACATATGTTATATGTGCAGAGGTGTTTACTGGTTTAATGTGAATTTCAGCTATCAATGTGTCCTGTTGATTTTCTTGTCAAAGTGTTTGGTTTTGCTATCGTTATGTTGTAGGCATCTATTTGTATTTGCTTACTCTAGAAGCCAGCTTGTTCGTTTATTGCTTATTTATCAATGATCATTGTCTGTCCTAACTGGGTTCAGACACTATGAAGTGACTACCGATAACTACATCCATCTGATGAGTATAAAACGTTTTCGACTTTATGTATTACCTTTAAATTTATCATTCTGTTTTCCACAAATCTCAGAAGCACCGCCCCGACTCTCAAAGACAGATGCTTGATTAGTTGAAGGCCAATTAACATTTTTTCAGCACTGATTCTTTAAAAAAGCTAATCTGTTTCCGATATTACGTGAACAAAATAGTTCGTGGATCAGTGTTACAAACAAAAGCGTTCAAAATATGATGTTCAATGGCCCGAGGCTGTAAACATTGCATTGTCTCCTTTCAAAGAAACTTATAGTATGCATGGCAGCGCAACTAAAAGTGGTCGGTGTCTTTAAAAATAATGACTTTTAAATAGTTTTAAAATTTATAGTTTGACGAATTTCGTTTGCTCGCTTCTCATTTTATCTATTTCCTCATCTAGGGATAACCTCGGAAGACGCAATGGGAAACCATCGGATGGTTATCGTCTTCGGCATATGTCTTTCCATCGCTGGTTGTTGTATGCCCTTCGCTGACTGTGCAATGGCTTCGGATGTAATTCGTTTGTTCGATGACAAAGTCAACAAGAACAATGTGAACGTGAAGCCTCTTCTCAACCAGACTGAAACCATGCATGTCAACTTATCTTTCAACCTGGTCTCCATAACAGAGTTCAATGAAGTTGATCAGCGTTTCTCCTGCAACGCCTGGTTGGATGTGTATTGGAAGGATGAACTTCTTGTATGGAATTCGTCCGAGTACGGTGATCTTAAAATGGTGTGGCCACCCAATGACAAAGTGTGGAGACCAAGTCTTGCGGTAGCTAACATACATAATGACTTCAAAACACTTGAGATCAAGTCAGGTATCGTCATGCTACAGAATGACGGCACTGCCAAATGGGCACCAGGAGAGGCTTTCCAGACCTTTTGTAAGGTTGACATTTCAAGTTACCCGTTTGACAAGCAGCGTTGTGACATTGAATTCTTCATCTGGGGTATGGGGCTCGATGAGGTCGTTCTCCATCCGATGCATGACGGAATTAACACTGACGCCTACAAGAAAAATGGAGAGTGGGACATTGTTGCAACTAAAGCCTACCAAGAAGTGCGAGGTACCACTACCATCATGTCAATGATTGTCGTATCGTTCCTGCTAGAGCGTCGCCCCTTCTTCTATGTCCTGAACATCGTCATGCCCGTCCTGGTTCTCGCCATCCTCAACGTATTCGTGTTCCTCATCCCTGTGGAGTCTGGAGAGAAGATATCTTACGGAATAACTGTCCTGTTGGCGTTTGGCGTTTTCATGAGTTTCATCAGCGACATGCTCCCCCAGACCTCTGAGAGCATCTGCATGCTGGCCGTCTACATGGCCAGCCTCCTCATCCTCAGCGCCGCCTTCGTCTGCATCTCCATCATCATCACCCGCATCCACCACAAAGAGTCGCTTGGCGATCCAGTTCCAAAGTGGGTACGGAATGCAACGCTGGCCCTTGAATGCCTGTCATGCCAGAACAAAAAAAGGATCGACCCGATGGGTGACGAGATAACGCGTGAGAAGGAAAAGGTGCGAAATCCTAACGCGGTCAGCGTTCTGCGGGCTTGGGAAGGAAGTGATCCGATGACCTGGACGAGATTCAGCCGCGCTCTGGACAGCTTCTGTTTCTGTTTCTTCACACTAGCAATCCTGGCAGTCACGGGTACCATCATGGTCAAGATGAAGTTCGGGGGAAACAAGATAACCATTGACTCTAAGATACATTGAGAATGTAACTTGCCCGAACAGCTAAACACGACCTGGCACATTCAGAATCGCTGGTTGCAATATATTTTCGGTAACATCCCAGAAATATTATTATGACCCCGGGAATAGGAAGAGAAGATTTTCAAACATTTATCCAATGGTGAATTCGATTTAGCTCGGCAAAAGAAAACTACCGTAAATAAAATCTATTACTAACTTAAAATGAGTAGTACAGATTCATAATATCGTAGATACTATTTGATCATAAATATGTTACAAGCAATTCCGTGTCAGTTCATCGGCCAAATGAGGCAATATGTTTTCTTTAATGCTTAAATAAACTGAATATGTATTTGGCCATGCCCACTCACAAATTGGTTGATTTGCGGGGTTATTCGGATAATCACAATTTGCACAGAGGTTTTCACGTTCATATTTCAATGAAGCTAAGTCATATCAAAATCAAACTTTTGTATTGTGTATTTAACACTTATATGGAGTGTGGGGCATTGAATTAGTGTAATACGATGACACAGATGAAATCAACGCTCTGTCCGTGGCAGGTGTAATTTACACATGGTATTTTCTCTCACACTCCCGTGGGTAAGAAATCTATGTCAGAAAAAAGGGATCAAATATATTTGTGGCATCGAATTCCAGGTCCGTGATTGGCTGCGCCATGGTGATTTCATGAGGTCAGATTATGACGGACGTTTTGCCTGATTGTAATTTATTGTTAAGTCGGTCGTGCTTTTGTTGAACTGAAATACGTCTATGTCGAAACATTGTAGTTATTGTGTAAATATATCTTATCTAGTTTAACATGTACCCCCATATGGGGCGGTGGGGTAGCCTAGTGGTTAAAAGCGTTGGCTCGTCACGCCGAAGACCCGGGTTCGAATCCCCACATGGGTACAATGTGTGAAGCCCATTTCTGGTGTCCCCCGCCGTGATGTTGCTGGAATATTGCTAAAAGCGGCGTGAAACCAAACTCAGTCAGTCAGTGTACCGACATTTAATTCCTTCGTATGAGTAGTGCGCCGTTTTCTTATGTATTAATGTGCCGCATTAGAGAACAGATGATTATGAGAATAGACAACGTATATACTACTCACACTTTGTTAAGGATCACAAAACTTCACAACTTTACTCAAACGTAGATTCATAATTTGAAATTGTATCCATTTTTAACTGGATAAATAATAATGTGATAACCCCTCTTTAGGCAAACAGTCACTTTAATCTAACCTTATGCACTTGATACATGAGTAACCATTAAAATGGTTTTCATGGCACCAATCAACCATTTTGCAAATCATGGAACGAGTCATTGACAAGTACACAACACCTGTCATTAGCAGGTATGGGTCCACAAGATGAAAGGACATACTGAAACCTAGGGTCCATGCTAACAATAAGCTTAGATATCTAAACCAAGTTTGACCCCACATCATAGTTTTCTGTTGAATCCATGACTTGATCCTTAGCAAAGTGTGAATAGTATATGTCGATTCGATACTGAAAAAAGCGCTTTGCCATGGTGTTAAGGGATAGATTGCCTCATTCGTGCCCATCAGATACCATTTGCAATGTTTGATTGTTATTTTAACGCCGCACTCAGAAATATTCAGGCTATGTGGCGGTGTTCTGTAAATAGAGTCTGGACCAGTGGTCAACAAGATGAGCGTCAATCTACGCAATTAGGTGAGTGAGTGAGTGAGTGAGTTTAGTTTTACGCCACACTCAGCAATATCCCAGCTTTATGGCGGCGGTCTGTTAATAATCGAGTCTGGACCAGACAATCCAGTGATCAACAGCATGAGCATCAATCTGCGCAATTGGGAACCGATGACATGTGTCAACCAAGTCAGCAAAACTGACCACCCGATCCCGTTAGTCGCCTCTTACGACAAGCATAGTCGCCTTTTATGGCAAGCACATGGGTTGCTGAAGACCTATTCTACCCCGGATCTTCACGGGTCTCTACGCAATTAGGATACTATGACATGTGTCTTAAGTAGGTCAGCGAGTCTGACCACCCGAGATAGTCGCCTCTTACGACAAGCATCGGTTACTGAAGACCAATTCTGACCCGTATCTTCAAGGGATCTACTACGTGATCTACGAGTGAGTGAGTGAGTTTAGTTTACGCCGTTTTTAGCAATATTCCAGCAATATCACGGCGGGGGACACCAAAAATGAGCTTCACACATTGTACCCCTGTGTGGAATCGAACCCGGGTCTTCAGCGTGACGAGCGAACGCTTTAACCACTAGGCTACCCCACCGCTCCCTCTACTTACGAGGATTGTAAGATAACAGATATCTGAGAGGCACGAGTGTTTAATCCTCAAGATCATGAGAACACGAAAATGTGTTTCACCTACTTAGACAATTCATAATAATGCATCACCAAGTACTCGACGAATACAAATAATCCGAAACAATCTGCACATTTAATTTGTTAGTGTGCTATCATTGTTGCAAATGAGTCAGTCACATATTGACGCTCATGTTGCTAGATCACCTGAGTCAATAAATGCGAGTGTTTCGAAAAGTAGGTGTGTACTTCATACCGTAGATGTATTTGCTTCAACACAATCCATTACATGGACTTCGAGCAACTATTAAGTTCAAAGTTTAAAAATATTCACAAGCTTTCTAGAAACAAGATGCAATAACGATTTCCTCAGGCAGAATTTAAATAGATCGTAAAGGACATTGTCCTGTCCACGATGAACCCGCTTGATAAACACATGGCTTTGTACTTGTATGTGACATTCTCGGGCAAGTCTCGCATAGCGCCGTTACGTGTCAATGTTTAATTTGCTTACAACGATCAAACACTGAAACCCATATGCATTTTATAGGTAAGTTATATATTGTCAATATTGATTCTAGTATATGTAATGTATAGTTAATCAAGTAGAATTGTTCTAATATGTGTCTTAATTGATTCCTTGACTAAATCCTGATGTTAGTAATTGATATATACTTTCTAGAGAGCACTTGTCGCCGCGAAACAGTTATCGCCAATACATCAGTATCACACGTGCGAAGTTCCGGTCAATTACAATTCCGGTATTTTTCCCCCACGGTATTTGACAACAATAAAGGATAGCAAAAGAACATTCTTCACGGTAAGTAACATCAGAGAAATATTAAAGATAAAGTTATGAACCTTATTAAAAAAAAGTTACTTAGTCGGGGGATGTCCCGAGACCTATATGTGTCCAGCTCAGTGAACGAGCTGGACACATCGGTGAATAGCTAATTTAGTATCATGATTAATTTTGTTTCATTAATTTACCGTACCGCGGAGTAAATTTGTAAATACCGCTAAAATATGGCGATAACTGTTCGGTAGCCAGTACAGTGTTAGCATTTCTTCTGTTATTTATTGAATGTTTTCATCACGTAGGTGCACAAGTTATACACTTGTTGTGGAGGCTGACGTCATTGTTTACTCATTTGATCATATTTATTCCTGTTATCGGGTAATTAAGGATTTTGTGGAACACAATTGTGAAAAAATACACCTAAAACAGTCATTGGTCTCTATTCAAACTGTGTCAACTGAAGGAATGTATTGAGAAAATCTCTCTCAACCAACTAGCCTCAATCCTAGGAAGATAATTAGTAATACCAAATTATTGTTAATTCCTTCACGTCACATTCATGCCTGAAATTGCAACGTTTCGACGAAGAAAAAAAATTATCTGTTTGATTGGCATTTAGAAATTGGTGACTAATAAGAAAGTAAGATTGTTTATGGATAACATGGATTCTTATACCGTTGTCAAGCAAGAGTGAAGTACTACAGCACAGAACAGACTTAGAAGAAAAAAATGGAAACTGTTCGTCAAACAATCACTCGCACTCTTTGCACTTCCTCTTCCTCTTTCTCCCTCCCCTCTCCACTCCCTCTCCCCCCTCCCTCCCCTCCTATCTCTTTGTGTGTCTATATCATATTTTCCATTCGATTCCATAAACCAATAAACATATAAATGAGGATATATATTTGAACAAGGATATCAAACGTCGCCTCTAAGGTTGCTTTATTGCGTCAAATTATATCTGAAAAGTCGACATTGTGAAGAATGACATTTGCTCAAAGACTAGCATTACATATTCGTGTAATAACTAATTGTTATTAACGCTACAGAACATGCGCAAAAGTCGTCAGATTTGTCCCCAATACTTATTGTGTTTAATACATGGGCGTTCCGTAAATACGAATTAATGAATTTCATTATCTATGTACAAGTTATAGAGTTCCTTATTTCACGTGAAAGCAGGACTCTATTGTCGATATCCACTTTGCTTAACCTTGATCGGGCATCAAACAAGAGACCACTAATGGATATTGTGTTGCATTGTGATTCAAATCTTAGGTTCATGTTTATACAACTAATGGTATTTGAATAGTTAGCACAACCAACCTTCGAGAAATAAAATATGTCTCAGCATTATATGTTATGTATTTGTTTAACTGTCTAACTCTTCTCTAATGCAATAACAATTAGAGGTGTGACGATACAGAAATTTCACGATACGATACGTATCGCGATATCATGGAACGATATGATTCGGTACGATGCGTATCACAATATGCTACCTTTAGTTATTTTCTTTTAAAAAGTGTATTTTGATAACAAGTAACAGTGTAAATTTTGACATAACCGTCAATTTCTAGTGAAAATTCACAATTTTAAGGTCAACGATACATATCACGATACGGAAAAAAGTATCGATATATTATATCATCACACGGTGGGTGATGTGTAAGTGACTGTGTCGTGAGGTACGATCATCAACTCTCGGCGGTCCGTCTTTCAAGTAGTACAAGTTCGGTTCGCCGTCTTTGATGTCCACAAGGTCTACGTTGTACGTTTTCATGGACCATATCGGATCGGTGGCGCGTTTTCTGTTGTCTCCCTCGTATTCTCCCGGCTGGTACAAGTACCTAACGCTGACCCGGTCCGGTAATGATTTCTGTTTTATCGCGACGTGCTGCTGCCGACGACGATTCGACAGATTTCATTTTGATGGCTTCGACGGGTCTCTTGCCCACGAGTCTGGTGACTTCCTTGTTGATGGCATCCACCACTCGCGGTAAGCGTACGACCCATTCCGTGTTTCTGTTTCCGGGATCCATTAAATCCTGCGAGTATTGGTGCGAGAACAGGCGTTCGGCTAGGGTGCGATTGAATCTCTCAACGAAGGCTTGGCTACGGTGAGCTCCCGTTATACCTCGTCTCACGTGACACGGCTCCCATGAACTCGCGTCCGGGATCGACTTGCAATACCGTAGGCCATGTCAAGCAACTGCGTTTGTATATGTGTTCAAAGGCTTTGGCGACTTCGTTCGAATCTTTCGTTGTCAACGGTTCGACTTACTTGGAGGTCGGCTTTGTGGAGGTTGAAATGTCGAATTTTCTTCTCGGGATGTATGGAGGCGCCGGCAGGTAGACTTGCCAGATGGCTTGTTTTTTAAGCCAGGTTTTGGCTTTCTCTTCCGAGACTCGAGCAGCTTTGGCGAGTTTCGGGATGGCGTCCGCGCCTTTCCAGTACCCTCGCAGGCTGTAATAAATTTTCTCCATGATATATGTACTCATGTGTGCGTAAGTGTTCAATTATTCGATACGCGTTTGTGTCGTACGGGTAAGTGGTGACTCTGTCAATGGCGATCCATCGTTTAGTGTCCATGGGAGACAGCGAGGTCTTGTTGATTCTCAGTCCATATATCCTGTGTCCGTCGCTTCTCAGCATGTTCATTTGGTGTTTGAACGTTTTATTCTTGATCAGGGCTTCCTTGAATCTGGCGTGCTT